TTTGTGTGTGCAGATCTTTTCTCTAGGTTATTGTCCTACGGGCGAGTGGCTTGCAGTGGGGATGGAGAGCAGTAATGTGGAAGTGCTGCACGTCTCCAAACCAGACAAATACCAGCTGCACCTTCATGAAAGCTGTGTTCTCTCGCTCAAGTTCGCCTACTGCGGTACGTACATTTTTTTTCTTCTTAAAAAGTACCTTGTTTTTACTTAGAAATGTAAAAAAAAATTAATTTAAGGTTGAGCATTATAGTAAAACATGGCTGTTTAATTGAAGGACTTTACCTGAAATGTTACTTTTAACTTTTGCAGGAAAATGGTTTGTAAGCACAGGCAAAGATAATCTACTGAATGCATGGCGAACTCCATATGGATCAAGCATATTCCAGGTAATGTTTGGATAATAGTGACTGTTGACTATAAATACTACAGGGCTGAGGTTGTAATTAACTAAAATTAGTGACACTACTAGCCTAAATACATTAAGTAAGCTTTAAATGCTGCAGCTTTTCTAGTACTTTTTCCAAAAACTACTGGTATAGTGCTAAATTCCCATTGTAGCAGCCAAGCAAACTGACAAACTGACAAGTAGAGTTTTAATTTAGTGAAGTGGTTAATTAAAATAGCTTAATTGAACTACTTAAAAAAAAAAAAAAAAGATTAATTTGATTCACTGTGCATCTTTTTAAATTGTTATATTTAGTTATATGCTGTGTTTACTATTTTTTACTTAATTGAAATCTATTCAAGTTAGCTTGTAGTTTAGCCAACTGCTTTTGAAAGCGTAGCTTAAACTGCTTTAAATTTTAGCTTTCCAAACAACAGGCTACTCAGATCAGCGTCCCCAAGCACTGTGTAATAGTATCAAATGGCTTAGTTTTAGCACAATTTAACTGATAATGAAATTGCCATTTTTGTCACTATGATGGAGACTTTTATTATGACATTGTCACAGTGTGTCAAAAATAAATGTTCATTGTTGAATAGACTTTCTATTTGTTCTATTTATCAGGATACATAAGACAAACACAGATCAGCAGTGCTGTCTAACGCCAGAAAGTACTAACTAAATACTTGTTTTTGTCTCTAGTCTAAGGAATCGTCGTCCGTCCTCAGCTGTGACATTTCTCCTGACGACCAATTCATTGTCACTGGCTCAGGAGATAAGAAGGCTACTGTGTATGAAGTCATTTACTAAACTGAATGTGTTCAAAACATTGTTAATAAAATGAGAAACTGAAACTGATTGGATGGAGAACAGATTCATCATTATTTTGCCTTTGGACTTGGGAGACAAAAGGTGTGGCATGGACGTGAATATGGACAGCAGTACGGCTGTTCTTTACGACTCCAGGATCAGATGGTGGATCTTCAGATCTGACCTTGTTGTTTTTTTTAATGCTGTGAGGAAAGCTGGTAGTCTAGCTTCAAAAACATGGGATTTCTCCAAAGACCTCTTTTCTTCTATCTTTCTTTCCTTTCTTTTTTTTTAAACAAGATGAAACCTCTGTAGTGAATATAATAGTAAAAGAAATCTTATTTTTTTAGCCTTTGGAATTTTCATGGAAATGGACGATTATGGAGCCACAGTGTATGAATGAATTATGACGAGACCTAAAGGACTGGCCTAAGACTTCATCGATCGTTTCCATAAAAGCTGACCTGATCTTGGCTCTGTGTTATGATTGTATGGATGATGTATAAGATAATGGACTATGATGTAGGACAACAAGGCTCTGGATTTTAGTGTTTCATTGACTTCAGGGAAATGGCTATAAAGACACTCGGTTAACGTCATATCACGTGAATACTGTATGTTGGAGCATGTTGAAAATTTTGACTTTGGTTGCAAACTTGGTATGTATGAATTGTAAATAAAGCTCTTTAAAAGCCAAAAGGTGCATACTGTTGGGTACTTGCAATAATTTATATTTTAAAATCTTATTTGATGAAATGTAAAAAATTCAGTTCATTAAAACAATTTTTTACCCTGCATTTAGTAAATACACAAATTTGAATACAATTTAAATATTAAATTACTTACCTCATTTATTTACCCATTTTGAATGCTAATTTAAAAAATCTAAGTTTAAGAAATATGCAGACCCAAAAACTCATGCTTATGCAAATTTTTATATGCACAATTAAAATAAGAAATTTAAATGTGTACAAATGTGATTGAATTAAATTCATTAATTGTAACGTTCATGTTGCTGATGAGATGGCTATTTAAAAATGCATAAAACAAACTGCAATATAAAGTACTATATACAATTATTAAATACAAGTTACATTTAATACAATTATTACAATCTGTAAATTTTTTACATTAGCACGAGTTTGTATAATTTTTTTTTTTAAATCTTTTAAATTGAAACACTTCTCAAGAACTCTACAACTTCAAAAGATGACCACAAGTTTAATTTGTCAATTTATACATGTCTTTTACATCACATGGGAAGTGCTACAGGGATATCACAGCGATGCCTTTGAAAAGGTTCCTTGGCTTTCGAGAGAGAGTGTCTACAACAAAATTGTGTCAGTGAACATTGTTCTCAGTATACAAACAATGCAATATATAAGGGTAGATAGATACAGATATTCAGATTGCATGATGTCAAAGACAGATCGTGCAGCAAAGACGGTCTGTCTTGAAATGGACAAATGCCACTGTTTGCAGGCAGCCATATTTTCAGCTATTTGAAAAAGAAAAAGAAACGCACCACACTTTCTGCATAATAAACAGACTGATCGATATAAAGTACTATATACAATTATTAAATACAAGTTACATTTAATACAATTATTACAATCTGTAAATTTTTTACATTAGCACGAGTTTGTATAATTTTTTTTTTTTAAATCTTTTAAATTGAAACACTTCTCAAGAACTCTACAACTTCAAAAGATGACCACAAGTTTAATTTGTCAATTTATACATGTCTTTTACATCACATGGGAAGTGCTACAGGGATATCACAGCGATGCCTTTGAAAAGGTTCCTTGGCTTTCGAGAGAGAGTGTCTACAACAAAATTGTGTCAGTGAACATTGTTCTCAGTATACAAACAATGCAATATATAAGGGTAGATAGATACAGATATTCAGATTGCATGATGTCAAAGACAGATCGTGCAGCAAAGACGGTCTGTCTTGAAATGGACAAATGCCACTGTTTGCAGGCAGCCATATTTTCAGCTATTTGAAAAAGAAAAAGAAACGCACCACACTTTCTGCATAATAAACAGACTGATCAAAACACTAATAACACTGCTTACTATTGCCATAAAAAAGAGAAAGACCCTAATAATATAATTCCTTCTGTTCACAAGCAAAAAATGGTTTGACTCATCCAACCATTTTCTGAGTGCTGAGAAAAGCTTTATAGATCAAAAGAAAAATTAACAAAACTTTAATTTAAAAAAATCTGTTCCCAGCAGGATGTTTGGTGCATGTGATAGATGAATCCTGTAGTGCCTCTCCTTGAAAATTCCTGGTCAGTTTGGCAACCACAGCTCTTCTTACTGATGGAGTACATCAGGGCTCTGTGTTAGGACCTCTCAGATTTTCAAGCATTTCTCATTTACTTTGTGAAGAATTCAGGTATGACAATTCATTAAAAAATGCATTTAAATTAATTGCATGACATCCCTATTATTTGCTGATACTGATATAGCAATAATTGCAATCCTCAAATTAAAATAATTTTTATATTCATATAGACACAATTGCATTCTGTTCCATGCTGTGTTGTTTACATTATTTCTTGGAACCTATTTTTGTAATTAATTGTTCTGCATTAAACCACATTACTTTATACAATTGAACAATTCTTACAATTTTTGATGTTTTACCATATACCAGTTTTGGATATTTAGGTATTTGCATCATCTTACTGAAGTAGAACAATCATGAAAAGATTTCCCCATGCAAAGCTAAAAGATAATTAATGACATGAAAATGAGCATTAAACCACAAATGAGCGCAACATCATACCATACGGTAATCCACAGGAATTAAAACGAATAACGGTCGTGGTTGTGAATATTTGCCACACGAATCCTACACGATTTACCCTTGCTCCTCATTAGACACTGACTTGTGGAAGGAGGAAATTAAATGCAGGTTGGAGAATTCAACTGGGATTTGCCACATGAATGTCTAATTGGGTTGGATAGGCGAGTGAAGAATTGTTTGTACACCCATATCGTGTTCATCCAGAGATGCTCCAGCGTGAGCCAGGAGCCTCAAAACTGTCTTTTCTCATTGGAGGGATGTTGTGCTCTATGGAGGGAGTTTGCGACTAATGAAATAATTGTCTGGTTTTGGTGTTTCTGTAAGTAGAAGCTCCCTGAATACCTGCTGTCTGTAGGGCTTCCTCTTTTAGCATTTAGCAGTTCTAATTATCTCCTCCCCACTTACTCGCTATGTTCATAATGGAATACTAGCATACTGCATATTTCACAGAATATACTGTGTACTACATACTATTTAAAAAATATCTAAAAGCATAAGAACAAAAGAATGTTAAGATATATAGTAATATGCTACATTGTTGCACATTTAACTTAGTGAGAGCTGTCCACTGTTAATTTACATTTTTAGTCCAATGTTGTTGTCCAGTAATGTCACAAAAATATGTTGCTAACAATTCTTCCATTATTGTAAAATTCAAGTATTGTAAAATGAAGTTACAGCTGTAGCAACAAATTTAGCATGCAGTGCTAGGTAGATTACTTACAAATTGTTGTTTGTTACTGATTACAGATTACAATGAAAATTGTAGTTAATAACAATCTAGGTTACTTATTTTAGTAATGTATTCTGACTACTGTTTAAGAAATTTTAAAAGAGGAAAAATCGCTAAATTATGTATAATTTGCTGCCATTGTGTAAATATTATGTAATCATGTAATCCTTAAAAAAGTAACTGTAATCTGATTATGAGCATTTTAAAATGTAATATAAAATAATTATGAGTACGTACTTTTTGGAATCTGATTACGTAATCCAGATTACATGTAATCCGTTACTACCCAGCTCTGTTAGTACGTCATCTGGGTATTTTATGTATAAAGAAAATGTTCATACTGTGCTCAGTATACATTCTGCATAAAAGTATGAATAGTATGGTAGTATGCAATTCTGAACAAAGCCTCCTTCTATCTCTCAAATGGTTGTGACTAGATAAGGACCGCAAATAGAAGAGCTATGGTTGCCCGCCATGCCATCCACGATTGTTTCATGCTTGGCGCTCTTTGTTCATCCATCCGTCCATCATTGTGTTCAGTACACCACCTCATACACTGTGGCTTTCTTATCCCCAGAACCAGTTACAATATACTTGTCATCTGGGGAAACATCACAGCTCAGGACGGACGAGGACTCCTTTGACTAGAGAGAGTGAGAGACAAAATGAGACATATTCGCAAATAATGATGAGATCCAGCTAAATCTCACCGTCACAAAAGTTGCATGCAATGATTTTCGAATCTGAAACAACAACGGTCTCATTTGAAAAATAAGCTTTGTTCTTTATCCATCGCTATTTCCTGTCTGCGTACAGCTGCTCTATTATTCTGATATGTTAATAGTGTAGCGGCATTTAAAGGTATAGGAGATCAAAAGACATCTCTAAGGAAGAAAGAACGTCACATGGGTTTAGAACAAACCTGGAAAATACTGGCTCCATATGGCGTCCTCCATGCATTGAGCAGATTGTCCTTTCCCGTGCTTACAAACCACTTCCCTGAAAAACAAAGAAAATTAAATCACATCTTGTGCCATTTAATAGCATTTATTTTAAATAACCATAAATAATGAAGGTCCATAGGAATACATGGGCAGCACGGAGCAGTTTCAAAGAGTGGCACTACACAACTGACTCATACCGCAGTAGGCAAACTTGAGCGAGAGAACACAGCTTTCGTGAAGGTGCAGCTGGTATTTGTCTGGTTTGGAGACGTGCAGCACTTCCACATTACTGCTCTCCATCCCCACTGCAAGCCACTCGCCCGTAGGACAATAACCCAGAGAAAAGATCTGCACGCACATAAAAAAAACTTGGATCTGACGGGCGTGACGAGGGATGCCAGGGCCGAGGAGGGCATCAGGAGGGAAGGGCACCGGCTGCATTTGACCATCTGCGCTCACATGGAACGAGTAAGCTCTGGGGGTGGGAATAAGGTGGACGTTAAAGTGATAGATAGTGAATGCAAAAATGGAAAGCTTGACTGTCTTTCTTCTGCTGAACACAAAAGACAGTTTGAAGAATTTTTTATCAGTACAATGAAAGTAAATGGACCCCACTGACTTTTACTGTATTGACAAACCTTTTTAGTGTATAATTCTAAGGGTCAGATAGAGGGAGGAAAATGGCCATGAAAAACTAAATTACGACTGATTTTGGTGCAATAAACCATGACTAAGATTATAAGTGGACTTGAGGGACAAAAGTTAAATGGTAAAATGACTTGTTTAAAATAAGAATAGGAGCTGATTCAAACCTTAAGCACTGAAGCAGTTTGACAACATAATTATGAAAAGTTCGCTTGTTTGTGAATGCGTCAGTGGGTGCAGCAATAATTTGCCATCTTAAGGATGTTTGCCTGAATTCAAGTGGTTTTCTCGCCTTAGCTGTCAGCGGAGGACTTGAGAGGGAATTGTATTACAAGTGCGGCAGACAAAAGCACTAATTTGGACCAACAGTCTATACACTGGCCATCGCTGTACAGCTCCATCCAAAAACCAAGGGAGGTAAAAGAAAGAGGAGAAACTCACGGCTTGCCACCAGTGGAGCCAGGCAGAGAGGAGGACAGCCCTGATGGCCTAAGATGTGAACGAGATTCGTACGCTACCTGTGGAGGGGAGTATTCAAGCATCAAAATGTTTTTGTGTACACTTCTGTTAATTGTAAGAGATTCAGAAACACAGTTACCATAGGGCTGCGTGTGTAGGCACTGGCTGCAGCACTGATTTGGGGCGAGAGGGTGAGTGAGCCTCCGAACCCACCCGGGCTGGCCAGCTCTCCGTTAAGCCCAGCGTGGGACACCACCCCGAAGTGAGCTGGGTAAGAACCGGGCGTCATGGTCAAGGGACTCCGCAGAGCTACAGGACACAATAAAACTATTATTTTCATTGAACTGTAGCATGTGTTCACTGTAAACGCAAACAGACAACATTTTACCCAGAGGGTCCGCCGAGGAGGCAGGTTTGTTGACCAGGCGTAAACAGGAAGTGCTGGGCCCGGGTGGGCCAGGTGGGCCAGGGGTGAGAGTGTCATGGTGAGAGGGAGAAGAACTGCCTGATTTAGAGGAGGGCGACTGAGATTTTTCTGTCTGCCAACAGAACCAAAAGACAGATGCTATTATTTGTTATAATGTTGAATGATATATAGCAACACTAATATGGATCCCCAGTAAATTTGTACACTGTCCAAAAAAATTTATAAAAAAAGATTTTGCTATTACTATTACTATTGTAAAAATAGATTAAATAATAACAAATAATACAATTATTATAAAAAAATTATTAATAAAAATTAATGAATTAAAAATGTATTCATTTTATTATAAATGTAATTTATATTATTAATAATAATATGAATAATGAATAATAATATTAATAATAATAAACATTTAAAATTTAATTTATATAAAATAAGTTTAACAATAACTACAAACCAGCATTTTGATCTGGCTAGCACATGTAACTTAATTTAATCAAATAAAATCCTACAAAAATATCAGAATTTTGATTGTTTAATCGATATTCAATGTATTATATTAAAAATAGGTATTAATAAAAGTTTATCAGTAACTACAAACCAACACTGCGTCCCAAACTAGACCATACTTTGGCTAAATCTGCAAATCTACTTTAAAATAATTGTACTTTTTTTTTTTATATATATATTTATAAAATAACAAAAAACACACAAATCAAATTATTTTAGTAACACCATTACAAAACAACTGTGAAACTCTGCTTATTTAAAATAAGCAGAAAGTAAACCAGTTCATATAATATTTAGTATGACCGTCTGATAGAGACAGTCAACCATTTAATATTAAACAAGTTAAGCAATATGCTTGGTAATATGCAATTCTGGCATATTAGGTGTCTGAGAAAAGTACGTGTGCCGTGTCCTTGTTTTTGCCAGGGGGTGGACTGTGTGGTGGGGAGGACAGAGGGGGGCTGGGGGATCCTGGGAGCTCTTTCCTCAGGGTCGGGGCTCGATCCAAACCATTCCCATGTGGAGACAGAGGGGCACTGTCTACGGGAGAGGATGGCTCCTGAAAACACAGAGTCAAAGAGTTAAGGAGAATCAAGAACATGAGTGCATTTTGATTTCATTCAGATATGTGAATTTTCTTTTTACATTTTAGATAGTGTGGTATGAGTTAATAGGATTTGTTTGAAATAACAGTTATCTTTGTTAACCTGCAAAAGAGCAAGGTCTGATCCATTCATATTTTTCATTATGCCATCTGTGTTAACTCAGTAGTAAATGACAAAACAGTTGACAAAACAGAAGACAGTTCTAGTTTAATCCTTGATGTGGGATATTGCAGGAATTCAGATCATTGAAGTGTTAATTATGCAGCGGGGTCACTTAATGATAATAAAAGCATTGCGCAGTCCCCGCTGACTCCAGACGCTCTGCAGCAGAAAACAATCCTGAGTCGCCTGTGATATTATCAGCAATTACTGAATGAATGCAGTTTAATAAATACGAGTGATGTTCAATATTTGTCCAGTAATTGAGAAATAGAGCTGTAATGTTTCACCTTGAAATGGATGATAATTACACAGAAATAATAATAATAATGAATAGGAGTTTTTTGCAGGATGAAATGCATTTGTTGGTGCTGTTCTACAATCAACTACAAATTTGTCATTAAGATTAAAGTCAGTGCGAGACTTGCCAGCGCAATGCTAGGGTGTTTTGGGTGTTTTCTGTGGTCCAGCCCAAAGTCTTTATTATATTCTGGTCTCCAGTTATGGCTTGGGTTGATATTCACCAGCAAAGAAAGTTATTGCATTTTCATTAATGTTTATGAAGACAATTTATTTTTACAACAATATGCTGAACAAACTGTTGATTTGTGCACAGTAAAAATCAGGTCAATTTTGATGTATAAGAAAACAAAACAATGCAAAGCAAAGCAAAGCAAAGCAAAGCAAAACAAAACTAAACAAAAACTAAACATTTACTAGAAATTAATAAAAAAATTAAAATAAAATGTACATTTAAAACAAAAATAAAAGTTCGCTGTGACACAAAATGGGCAGTCAGTTTAACACATTCATTTAGTTTATCATATTTTTAGCCTATACATGATCTAAATTTCGTAATTAGGTATTTTCTTACCATCTGAACAATAGCAATAAACAATGCAGTACATCAAAACCCACTTTTTGTCAAATCTATTCAATCTTGTTTACCACAGTAATGTCTTTATATTTATTTGGGGGCTTTTGTCAGCAATTAGTGAAATATGCAGATAATTGTATTATTAATCAGCATATCATGTAATGAATTTAATTATAAAATGATTTACAGTTTTCAATTGATGATGATTGGCAGCACTACTGTAAGTACAGACTTTCACCAATGTTAATTTAACAGTGCATGTGAACTGACCTCATTTGAGACATCTACTACAAGATTGTCCTCGCTCTTGTCTCCGTCACTGTCCTAAAAGACAACAGACAGGAGAAAAACCATGTTAGATGACACACACAGGCACAAAAATATATACCCCTATGGGATATTCATCAGATACATACATGTACGTCCGATATTGCAGTGTCCTTTTACTGCACCCCCGTCCCCCTCCCTTTGTGTCTGATTACAAAACAAAACAAAAACTAAACATTTACTAGAAATTAATAAAAAAATAAAAATAAAATATACATTTAAAACAAAAATAAAAGTTCGCTGTGACACAAAATGGGCAGTCAGTTTAACACATTCATTTAGTTTATCATATATTTAGCCTATACATGATCTAAATTTCGTAATTAGGTATTTTCTTACCATCTGAACAATAGCAATAAACAATGCAGTACATCAAAACCCACTTTTTGTCAAATCTATTCAATCTTGTTTACCACAGTAATGTCTTTATATTTATTTGGGGGCTTTTGTCAGCAATTAGTGAAATATGCAGATAATTGTATTATTAATCAGCATATCATGTAATGAATTTAATTATAAAATGATTTACAGTTTTCAATTGATGATGATTGGCAGCACTACTGTAAGTACAGACTTTCACCAATGTTAATTTAACAGTGCATGTGAACTGACCTCATTTGAGACATCTACTACAAGATTGTCCTCGCTCTTGTCTCCGTCACTGTCCTAAAAGACAACAGACAGGAGAAAAACCATGTTAGATGACACACACAGGCACAAAAATATATACCCCTATGGGATATTCATCAGATACATACATGTACGTCCGATATTGCAGTGTCCTTTTACTGCACCCCCGTCCCCCTCCCTTTGTGTCTGATTTCACCAATCACACCAACACCACCTTGTCCACCGCTCTCACACGGCTCACACTCATCTCACTGTCCTCTTTCACCCATCTCTAGGAATCAGGAGGTGACAACGCACTTAGTTGCCATGGCAACAGGGCTTTGATGTGATCATGGCCTGATGTTCCTATTGCCATCACCCTATAGTGACATCATCCCCCTAATTATACCCGCCCGGATGGTCACATCCGACTCTTCCCTACATGTGTGTTTGATAAATGCTACACCTGATGCATTGCTGAGCTTTCTGAACTATGATAAACAATTATACTATAAAAAAGAGATTATACCTATACAATAGGTATAAGTTTTTATTAATATATATTTATATAAATGTAATAATAATATAATAAAATAAAATATAATGTAAGTATATATAATATAATAAGTATTATATATTAAAGTGTTACGAGAATTATATAATAAAAATATATATTATTAAAATAGAACTTTACTATTTAAATTATATTTTCTTTTTGATTTTATAATTATAATTACACACATTAAAAATATTTAATATACATGTATTAATTATATTTATAATTACCAATATTAATATGATTTAATATACAATTATTTTTAAATTATATTTATTTATAATTAATTATACATTTATATACAGTTATCTTAATTACAATTTTGTGAAAATGTGGAAATATACCATATTAAGATATGTATTGAACATCATAACATTGCTAAATAACAAAATATAATTACTTATTACTAACATAATATAAAAATAAAATGACTTCCAATAAACACAATAAAAGCTGCAATAAAATAAAATGTCTTTAATAGACATAAAATATATAAGGAATAAATTTACAAAATGCAAATCACGTTCTATACTAGAATTTTGACAACAATGCAAATGTTGTGATCATTATTATTACATATCACATAAGGTGCATGGGGACTGAGACAAAAAAAAATAAAAAAAAATAACAGGAAATCAATGAAATCAAATGTAAATCAAATCAAATAAGATTCCACTGGGATAAAATAAAAATATAACAATAGGGCTGCCAATTTAATATACACAGTTAATTGGGGGACTGAGACAAGTATGATGTCATCATCGTGTGACAGAACCTACGTAGTGAGACGGGAGGACGTCTTTTTCATCACACCGTCTCCGTTTGGCATCGCTGCTGGCCTGTGAGGGATACACCCCTGAGGGACCCTGACGATCCTCCGCTGCCTGACTGTCAGTTGACGACACTGATTTACTCTATAGAGACAGAAAACACAACATAAACACACACACACACACAGTCTCATTTCCAACAAAATGCTAAGGTTGTGCAAAGTTCACTGAATAGTTCATTGTTCTAAGGCTGTTTGATGGCTTTGTGTTGGAAGTCAATAACATCAAATGTCATTGTTTCTCGAGTGTCTCTTAACTAAACGTCATGATGTAAACCCTGCACCATATTTGAATTGCGCTGAAGGGATTTATAGGTCAATTTTGATATTTGTCACTAAGAAAGGTCACTGTATGGAAAAGCCAAATGAGAGTAAATGATGACAATTTTCATTTTTGGGTGATTTATTCCTTTAAAGCAGAATCCTGCACTATTTTGCAATTAAAAACAACAACAACGAACATACTAAATATTGAATTGGCCCAAAACATTTGGTCACCATCTAGTGTCAACTGTCCATTTTTAAACTTTCATCATTATGAGGAGTACAGCAAAACCGGTCTCAAATCAGTGAGTTCAAACACTTCGTTTTCTGCAACGGTGCAGTTTTATGAGCCAAACAGGAAGTGCATTGGACTGAGATGAGAAAAAAGTGCACAAAGAAGCCCAGTTCTCTCAAACAAAGCTGTTTTCTCCAAAATCTCTCTCTCTCTTTTCACTCCTCCTCGCTCAGACCTTTCCTTCTTGACTCCCTCATTTACTTCCTCTACAGTCAGCAACAAGAAATCATCTTAAAGAACTTGGCTGTTATGACTCTTTCTCCTCTGAGTCATTCCTATGCAAGCTCAGTCCTATGGAAGCACGTTTACACCATGGAATAAAAAAATGTAAAATGCAAATTCTAATTTTTATCTTTACGATAATTACGAGAAAAAAATTCTGAGTTTATATCCCGCAATTCTGAGTTTATATTTCATGAGGTTTTTTTGACAGAATTGCGAGGAAAAAAAATTGCAATTACCTTTTTAATATTTGTATTCTTTGGTGGTCTCCTGAAGTTATAGTTTTTTTATGACTGCCAGACGTAAAGTTAGTGATTGTTCACAAACATTCTTGCCCTCTGCAGCTTATACAAGTCATACAGGTTTTGAATGACATGAGGATGAGTAAATGAACAGAGCTTTCATAAATATCAGTTTAAATGAACGTCAAAACTTTTAAACAGACAGTACACCCAAAATTCAATTGCTTATTTTATCCTTGAAACAATAAAAGATTTTCACTATATTTCAAATCTCCTAAAGACATATTATAGCTTTTAAATCATTATTCTCTGAATATGTGACCTTTCGCAGCTGATTCAAGTCAAGATTTTGAAAGACATGATGGTAAGTAGACAAGCTAGAAAGATTCATTTTTGTGTGAACTGTTCCTTTAAGACTATGATGCAACCGAATGACAGAGAATTATGGTTTGTTATATCAAAAGCACAGAATGAACACTTTTCCTCAGCGCTAATGGCAGAGGGTGGGAACAGTGCTGTTTAGAGAGTCCTGAAAGGTCAGTCAGATTTCATAATCCGTACATCTCTTTAAAGGACTCTGTTTTTGGAGTCGTTTATCAAAGTCAGTGGGGTGGAGGCACATATACACACATACAAACACACAAGTTTGATACTCACCCTGCTGGGCGCACCCTCTGGGAGCGGAGGACAGAGAGAGAGAAAGAGAAGGAGGGGTTGGGGATTGACGTCAGTCTAGATAATAATAACAACAATTCCATAGCAAGCCAAGGTCATGCTGAAAAATCCAGTCAGGGTGCAATAAAAATACATCCATTGTATTGAGCTCCCTGAGCAAATCGCCCCTCTGGCCTTCAGTCTATCAGAGTTTCAAGGCTTCTCAGAAGTCTATCCAATCTGCCTGACCAACTCAACACACCCTCGTTCTCTCTATGTTTCACTTTGTGTTTTTCTAGGCCAACTTTTGCACCATCGCTCTCTTATCATGCTCCCTTTAATGCTTGTCAAATCCTATTTTCAAGGTGCACAATAAGTGCACAATAAACTTTCTTAACAAACTTTACCAGTTGCATGCATTTTGTGCCTTGTTGAAGTCTTTATCAAAGGAATAGTTCACTCAAAAATGAAACATTTCTTAAAATCCATTCAAGATGTAGATGAGTTTGTTTCTTCATCAGAATGAGAGAAATTTAGCATCACATCACTTGCTCACCAATGGGTGCTCTGCAGTGAATGGGTGCCGTCAGAATGAGAGTCCAAACAGCTGATAAAAACATCACATACTGTAATCCACAAGTAATCCACTTCCCTCCAGTCCATCAATTAACGTGTGAAGTGAAAAGCAGCATGTTTGTAAGAAACAAATTCAGGGTGGATTATTGTGATGTTTTTATCAGCTGTTTGGACTCTCATTCTGACGGCACCCATTCACTGCAGAGGATCCATTGGTGATCAAGTGATGGAATGCTAAATTTCTCCAAATCTGATGAAAAAATAAACTCATTTGCATTGCCTGAGTAAATTATGAGCAAATTTTCATTTTTGTGTGACCTATTCCTTTAAAGAGGAAATATATATTTAATTTATTATTATTTATTTATACAATTAAATCATTTAATAGCCCCATGCATCTGTGATATTAAAAATGTACATAGAGTAAGACAGGTCAGATAGACACTCACCTCGCAGGTGCTCAGGGTCTAGGTGGTTGCGTTCATCCTTGTTGGCCAGGTGGGCGGAGACTCCCAGAGCCCCGGTGAGGGCCAGCAGCCCTGACGTGCCGCCCAGAGACAGACCTGAAGGGTGAGGAGTAAGAGGAATACCTGGAGTGTGGTGAGACAGGTGCTGAAGCTGCTGCTGCTGAGAGACAGACAGACAGACAGACAAAGAGACAGAGATAAAGACAACAGGTGGAGACATGCACAGAAACACATGGAGATAGATGGATGGATGGACAGATAGATATGTCCCAACCCAATTTTCTGTTTCGATAGGATTATGAGAATATTTCAGTTCTATAAATATAGAATGTAACTATATAGAAAGTAACTAAGTAACTAAATGTAACTTCATAGTCCATAAACTCAGCAGTCCATAAGCTCTCCAGTCAGCCTACAGCAGCAGTGGTGTCAGTCTCTGTCAGTCTCTGTCTGCTGTTGTCCTGTGTGGGCTGTATCACCGTATCACTGGGGTTTAAGTGCAGTAATATGATCAGAGCTCAGAGAGACAGTGGACTGAAGAGAGAGTGTGTCACTCCATAACAGCCAGCAACAAAACAAGCTGTAATTTAGCACAGAGCAGAGATACCTCTCTTTATCAGCTTTCTGATATCTCTTTTCTTTTTTCTCCCCTCCACCATATCTATATATTTCTTTATCTATCAATCTCTCTATCTATCCATCCATCCATCCATCCATCAAACTTTTAATCTATCCATCAATCTGTCTGTCTGTATGTATGTCTACCCATCCATCTATCTATTTTTCTATCCAACATATCAGTATGAGAGGTCAGAGTTCACTCACCCCTATGATGGCGTTGAGCTCTGCCATGGTGACCTGTTTGGCACGTTCCACCGCCTGAACAACCTGCTGTTGATGCTGATACACACAAATGCTTATACTTACATGGTAAGACAGAGACGCAGTATACACACTTGTAGACAAAAACCCAAGCACACTAAAATAAAATGTGAATTAAAGTCTCACAAAAATGTTATTTAACCCCCATCTCTCTCACACTCTCTCGCTCCATCCCTGTCCATCACACACACACACACACAGTCAGTATTGACAGACATATCACTCTGTCCTTCCCCGTCAGCAGACACTAACTCAAGCTAATGCTAAAGGTGACCTCCTAATCAATACAGCTCCGCCTGATCTTTTATTGCTCATCTGCCCAAATAAATCCTCCTCATTTAAAATGAGGATCCATTCCAGACGTTTTATTGGACCACAGCTATCCTCAAATGAAAGGGAGCTCTATCAGTATACATTATATAAAAGGTTATATTTACAAACAGACTGTATGAAAATAATGAACGGTAAACAGATGTTATTTACAGAAGTCTTACATAAACCACAATAAAAGTTTTACCTTTATTTAGTCAGAATAACAGAACTGTGGCTGATTAATGGGTGAATCTCAAGAAGAGAAATTGACAAATGCCTTTTTTTTTGCTTAATTAAAATTTAAATGAACAATATTTAATCAGATTATTATAGCATTATGCACAACAATAATAATAATAATTAATTATAAATTAACATAATATACTTTAATATTATATAATAAAATAGCATGTCATATAAATATATATCAATATAAATTATATAATAAAATTATATATATTAAATAGCTAATGTTCTTGCAAAATTTTTTGAGAAATTATGTTAATCCTTTCTCATTTTCCATTTCGGTTTTGAACTCTAAAGGTGAGTTGCATTAATTCATAGTTTGCATTCATGCAGAGCCCACTGTAAACTCCAGAGGACTACAGCTCCAAAGCTTTGAAGATAGCAATGGATCTATGGCTGCTCCTCGACAAGGGAACTGGAGCTTTGAATATGCTGGGACACAGAACAAACCATTCCAGTCTTAGCCATCCATACTAACACAACAACAAAAACAACAACTAGAAAAGCAACATCCGAATCTCAAGAGTTTCTAATGAAGTTCTCCTTCTACCTTTCATGTGAATTTATAGAAACTAGCAACATGTAGAGAACGAGAACTTTAGAGGGATAGTTCACCCAAACATTAAAATTCTGTCATTATTTATGCATCCTCCACTTGTTACAAACCTGTTTGTGTTTCTTTCTTCTGTTGAACACAAAAGAAGATATTTTGAAGAATGTTGGTAACCAAGCCATTGACGGTAGCCACTGACTTCCATATTTTTTTCCACACCATAAAAGTCAATGGCTCCCTTTAACTGTTTGGTTACCAACATTTTTCAAAATATCCTCTTTTGTGCTCAACAGAATAAAGAAACTAAGGTTTGGAAAAAGTGGAGAATGCATAAATGATGACACTTTTTTTGGGTGAACTGTCCTTTTAATTTGTTTATTTTCACCAAGAACTCCTCAATTTGTATGTGAATCACTAGAATTGGATGTTCTGACTTATTTGAAAGGTGAGTCATTGTTGGACTTCTGGTTCAACCAATGGTGTGACTTTGGCGCCTACTTGTAACACTAGTAGCAGAACTGCTAATAAAGCAAACAGTGATGCTGGACTCAAGCTGAATTTGCAACCTGAGCTCATCAAGTTATCGCAGACAACTTTCGGTAACTGAACGCGGCAGGAGTTTACGGCTTCGTTAAAAAACGCAGGATATCAGCAATCCTTGTTTAGTCAGAGATGTGAGACGGGGTCGTTAAAATCTAGAAGCTGTCTGCCATACTGAGAGTGGATCAGTTTGACGGGGAGGGGGGAGAGAATGTGTGTGTGTGTGTGTGTGTACGCCTGTGGGAGAAGACCCCAGAACCCTGATGAGCTGTCAATCACTGTCAGCGTACCTCCTGAGAGAGGAAAGGGATGATTTGAGCACAGATAGCACTGAGTCGCTTCACGATCTCCGCCTGCAAGAGAACACACACGTACACATGCTCGATTAGAAGAGAAAACAGTGACAGTGATAAACCTGTACAACTGCACTGGGCTCTCAATTCCCAAGCACACAAATGGCTTCAGCTTAGATTATATTCATGTCAATGTCTAAGCAACAAAAGATACACAAGACAGAGAAAGTGAATGACAGATAATAATGAAATGAGGGCCATTTAGCACAGCTGGGATGGAGGTTTTAGGTTAATTGTAATTTTGTGCACATGAATGATAAAAAAAACTATTCCTAACACTAGTAACCACCCAGAACACCCAGAAATAGTTAAAGGGGTCATATGGTGCAATTTAAATTTTTCCTTTCTCTTTGGAGTGTTACAAGCTCTTGGTGCATAAAGAAGATCTGTAAAGTTGCAAAGACTAAAGTCTCAAATCCAAAGAGATAATCTTTATAAAAGTTAAGAGTCAACCATGCCTACCTAAAACGGCTCATTCTAACACGCTCCCACATATCTACGTCATGATGTGGGAAGATTTGCATAACACCGCCCAAATGTTCACGCAAAGAAAAAATGCGTAACTTTGATTCTCGCTGTAGTATTGTTGTTGCCGTGTGTTTCGTTGTGAAAGCGAAACTACTTTGTTTGGCTTTCCAAAAGAGGACGATGTCCTTTTCTTCATGCCTAGAGCTGATCCGTGCTGGTCGCTGAGGAAATACATCAACTTCACGCTGTGGATCGCCGGATCGGCTTTCACCGTGGACGAAGCGGAGCCCAGCCCGGGGTCATCCCATGTGGTTGCCGCAAGCCCGCCGGCCGCTCCTTCATCGAATCCGCCGGCCGCCAGCCTCCGCTCACTCTAGCCACCAGCTGCCGCTCACTCAAGCCCGCCGTGTGTGACGCTGTGAAAGCGAAACTACTTTGTTTGGCCTTCCAAAAGAGGACACAACTAGAAATCAGGGGTTAAGTTGTATTTACAACACTGTTCCAGAACAGTTCAACCCAAATATTCAGATATGTGTAGCACATTTTATGGAGGACTGTTTCCTGATCCTGGGAGAGTAGACTACAATGCCAGCGCTTCTGCCTCACAGATTGTAAGTAAGTTTTCATATTTAAAGGATTTGCCACTGACAATTCAAACGCGAGTTTGTGTAGAGTAGCGCTTGTTGTTTGTCATTTCTCTAATCGCAAATGCAGACATGGTTTTATGTTTACGCGGCGCGATGCAACGCGTAAAAAGACAGTGTAAGTCATTATAATCCGTAATTATGTTCCCACTGGATGCAAAAAATGCCTCGTTTGTAATGGGTTTTAATGTTTTTGTCTCGTCTCTCCGGCCGGGACACGGCATCACACAGTATGGTAAGGGGTGTAACATTTCCGTCACACGTTTGAGGTATTCGGCCAATCACAATGCACTGGATAGCTGGCGAATCAGAGCACACCTCGCTTTTCAGACCAATGAGCTTTGTAAAAATCGACGCGTTTCAGAAAGGCGGGGCATAGAGGAGAAACAATATTTTACAGTATGTGGAAAATAATGTGTTTTTTTAACCTTAAACTACATAAACACAATTAATTACACCAAATGCACAAAATAATGTTCTTTTTAACAACATCATATGACCCCGTTAATAAAAAACACTCATAAAATCCTAGCAGACAACATGAACACTCTAGCAGTCACCTAGCAACCATACATAAATGCCCTAACAACCACTCAGAACACCCTAGCAATCCCCTAGCAACCACCAAGAACACTCAAGCAACCACCAGGAACTATGCATGTAGCAACACCCTATCAATTAGCGACAAAGCAACACGCTACTAACAATACAACCTAGCAACATGTTAAAAACCACTCATGACATCCTAGCAACTATAGCAATCCCCTAGTAACCACCAAGAACTATGTAGTAACACCCTATCAACTGCATTGCAACGCGACCAGCAACAATCAAACAGAACACCTTAGCAATGCAAAAAACACCCATAAAACCATAGCAACCACCTAGAACACCCTAGCAACCACCAAGAACTATGTAGCAACACCCCATCAACTACATAGCAAGTAACGTGCTACTATAAAACAGAAAACCTTAGCAATGCAAAAAACACTATAGCAATCACCTAGCAACACCCTATCAAAGCATAGCAACATGCTATTAACCAAACAGAACATCCTAGAAATGGGCTTAAAACAACTCAAGATGTCAGAGAAACCACCCAGAACACCCTAAGCATCTGCAAAGCAATACCCAATTAACCATCCAGCAACACCCCTGCAATATGCTAAAAACACTCATAACATCACCCAAAAAAACCCTAGCAACCAAAAACCCTAACAATGAACTAAAATCACTCATAACGCCCTAACAACCACCCAGAAAACCCTAGCAACCCCTTAACAACCATACAAAATACCCTAGCAATGCACTTACAGCACCTCATGACATTCTGGTAACCACCCAGAACACTCTAGCGACACCCAGCAACCACATAGAAATGCACCAGCTACGCTCTAGCAATCACCCAGGACATCCTAGCAACCACTTAGAACACCTTAGCAACCACATAGAATTGAAGCAGTGAGTATTACATGGGCAAGCTTTTCAGAAAATATGTCTAGTTTGTGTGTGTGTGTGTGTGTGTGTGTGTGTGTGTGTGTGCGCGCGTTTTTGTGACAAATGAGGACATACATTTGTATAATGACAAAGGTATGACATAGGTATTACAAGGAGAAGGTGACTTTTCAGGACATAACCCCATGTCCCCACTTTTCGAAACGCTTATAAATCACACAGAATGGAATGTATTGAAAATCTGAAATAGCCCAAAGTTTTCTGTAAGGGGCAGGGTTGGTGTAGGGCAATAGAATATACGGTCTGTACAGTATAAAAAACCATTACGCCTATGGGATGTCCCCACTTTTCACAAAAACAAACCTGTGTGTGTGTGTGTGTTGAGTTCGATTCATTCAGCCATTTTCCTGCTCTCTCTCTCTCTGAGAGAGAGAGAGAGACAGAGCTCTTCAGGGCTGAATAGCTTGAATAGTCTCAATCTCCTTGCAACAAAGCACACAAACACACACATGTTTAATTATAGTCTCACTAAGAAAAACAACAGACAGGCAGACAAGTGTTTCACATACGCTGCAACACACTAACAGTTAATTACTTTCACTTGCATACACACACACACACACACACACGCGCGCGTGCACACGTTCCTTTCAAGACGTTCCTCACGGTGCCCAGTCACCATCCACCTTCATACTCCAGCAGCCATTATCCTTCTTTTTACTGTTTTTTTTCATTCTTTTCTTCCTGTCCTGTGGTAAGGCTCTGTGATTCTCTCAAACACACACATGCACACACACACTCTAATGGAGGAGTATTTGCGGTGATGGAGGCACAGAAACATAGCAGACCTCTAAGTGCACTCTAATACCTACATGAGGAGCAAAGCAAACCTGTGTTTTAGAGCTTGATGTTTGTAGCGGAGCTATTTTAAACTGATCATATTATAAACTGATAGATAGACCACCACACAATATATTAAACAAAATTCATAACGATGTAAAAAAGGAACATACTTGACTTAATGTTTTATATATTTATTAATTAAAGCAGATCTATCTATCCATCCATCCATTCATCTGTACAACAATCTATCTATCTAGTACAGTCAGGATATTAACTTATGAAAATCAGGTTATGATATTTCATAGAGTAGCTACTATTAGCTGGAAACATATAATTATTACCTGGCAGAATACTTGTTACTCCTGCCATATGAGACTGCAGACGACTAAACGGAAGCATGTTCAGTTGTTTGCATTTTTGTTGGGACACAGTGTAGCAGTGATGCTGAACATCTGCAGATTGTGTGCGTGAGTGTGCACGCGAGTGAAACAGAGCTCATTTGTGTATAATGAGGTTGAGGGAGCGAGTGATGTAACCGGTTTGGAATGAAACAGAGTGTGTTTGAGAAAAAGAAAGAGAGCGCAGGAGGGAAATTAAGAAACAGAGGAGGAAAACAAGATGTGTGGATGTTTGCGAGGAAGTCCCAGGGTGCCAACCTTTTAGCATAATGGCTTTGTCACTCGATCAAAAGGACCTGAGTAGGTGCAGATGCCCCGCTGCTTGTGTGTTCACATATAGGCTATTTACCCAGAATTCACGTGAGTGTGTGAACATGTCTCCACATTTGCATAGACTTGCTGTGTGTGTGTGTGTTCAGCAGTTATTAACTTTCTACCATCCAATGGAAGGAATCATATTTTCACTATATTTACATGACTTCATGACATGTTTGCATGTCAGAAAGGCAGCAACATTCGCAGTTCTGGGCCGTCTGCGCTAATTAAATGGCCGAGTATAATATTTGCTCATAAATGAACTGGACTAATGTTCAAATTTGAATATTAATTTAAAAAAATCTAAATATTAACATTTAAATATCCATCCATCCATTCATCCAATATCTATGACTATATCAAATAAAATAATTTAAATAACAAATATATATATATATATATATATACACACACACACACACACACACAGTTTAAAAATAATAATATAATAAAAAGTACAATAAAGAATGTCTGTATCTACATAAAAATTGAATAATAATTAGGATAATTTATATGAAATGTTAAAAATGAAAGCTAATTAATATTAATAGCTATATTAAAATAAAAATATATTAAAATCAAAAGTTTTTGGGTACATGACATTGTCAGATGCCCCATTAACTGCTTTTGTTTGGACGAGTGTGTTGGAGTTTGTATTTAGTTTGTAATACAGCGCAACAGTGTACACATGTGCAGGAATGTGCCCACATCCCCCCTCTGTACGTGCTCTCCCCCTCTGCACATTTAATTACCCATGAGCCTTTGCATGTGTATAGGGTTTTGTGCATATATGTGTGCTCGTGTCCTCCTTTGTGAGCGTGTCTGATATTCAGTGCTTTACTGCTCTCTTTTCCTCCCTTGTTCTGTTTCTTTTCTTCCTTTTTCCGAATGGAAGGGCCATCAATCAGAGAGAAAGAGAGGGAGAGCGAGGAGAGGAGGGAGGAGAGGGGGATATTGGCGGAGCGCCAAGGGAAGAGAGGCTGGCACACTGCCCAGAGAAAGAGAGAGAGTGAGCATCACTAGAGCGAGCCAAAATGAGAGGAGGGAATTTAAGAGAGAGAACAAGCACAGATAGAGAGAGACAAGGGGTGAAAGAGACAGCGACTGAGAGAGAGAGAGAGAGCAGTGTGACAGATGAGGAGAAGAGAAAATGAGGCCTTTATTGAATACCTCTGTGCCTGTGACCACAATCAGTGATTAGAACGTCATTGCTTAATATTTGCCTTTAAATGTCTGAAGAGAGAGAGAGAGAGTGAGAAAGAGACAGAGAGAGAGAAAGAGACTCCATTAGACATAAAGAGGGCAGGCTGATAAGACCAAACCTGCATCTGGGGGCATCACTTTAAAGGAGCGTGTGTGTGCGTATTCGTGTGGCTTTATATTTCCACTTTTTTATGGCTTTTTTTGTCCACTATCCCACCTTTCTCTCTTTCACACACACCTCACTGCATTGACTGTAATCATAATGCCAGAGCCATTAGAGGGGCTGTTTCACAGTATTGCTGAAAACCACACGGACACAGACAGACAGACAGACAGACAGACAGACATATAGATAGATAGATAGATAGATAGATAGATAGATAGATAGATAGATAGATAGATAGATAGATAGATAGATAGATAGATAGATAGATAGATAGAAAAAGTTAATATCACAATATAATTAATATGACAATGATTCAACACTATTGTTAATATCTCATTTCTCAAGCATGCATTCAGGGATTCAGTGAACACATCTATTTAGATGCGGTGAATTATGATTGAGATGCCAATCATGTGCAAACATCATCAGAACATTGCTGAAAATCATGTGGCAATTTCACACAGCATAGAATTCAGTGGCTAACACACACACACACACACACACACACACACACACACACACTGACCCATCTAGATCTCTGTCTAGCCACCCCTCATAGCTTGTCTTAATCCAGTGCTTTAAATGAACTGGGACAGGAGTGAGACCTAGAGAGACAGACAGGAAAAACCTAAAAGCACTACAATCAAAGCAGTATTACAGGAGGGGTGGAGACAGAGAGATGTGTGAATCCTATTAGGAGGCAAAATCAATTTGGAAATTCAAACAACATAGAATCCAGTGGCTAACACACACACACACACACACACACACACACACACACACACTGACCCATCTAGATCTCTGTCTAGCCACCCCTCATAGCTTGTCTTAATCCAGTGCTTTAAATGAACTGGGACAGGAGTGAGACCTAGAGAGACAGACAGGAAAAACCTAAAAGCACTACAATCAAAGCAGTATTACAGGAGGGGTGGAGACAGAGAGATGTGTGAATCCTATTAGGAGGCAAATCAGTTTGTTGAATATGAAAGCATTAGGACCAAAGCCCCGCCCACTGACATACAACCACACACCTCGCCCCTAAACGGCAAATAAAACCAAAAAATTGTGGGTGCTTGCTTCACATGTCAATAAGACATGCTCTAAGTGGGCGGTTGCGAGCCAAACTTTATGCCGATACTAGGTTTCTCTCTCTTCCAGTGTCTTTTTTTGTCTTTCTGTCTTCCTCCATCGCTCTCCATTCATGTGTTCTAGCTCACACAGAGAGCGTGTATGATTACCCCCTTCTTCACATGCCACTGATGCTGGGAAAGACTGATTTATAAGGAAATCAGTCAGAGGAAAGGAAAGACAGACACACTCAAGCACTGTCTATTTTATTCAGTATCCGATTCTCAAAAGGAATTATGCAAATCAGGTATCACATTCAACAGGAGGTACTAACACTAAACCAGTTTGTTCCTTGATCGCATTATGCATATTGTCAACAAAAATGGGTAAAATCACCTGTTACAATATAATATAATATAATAATACATTTTTATTTTTAAATGTTTTTACAATTTTTATTATAATTATTATTTTTTAATGTAAGTAAAGCCCACTTCATGCCTTTAAGAGGTCTCCAAAAAGCATGTGTGTATGTGTGTATGATGTTATGAATATGTGTGTGTGATTATGGAGAATCATGGAGTATTATGACCCTCCCTAAAACTCCATTAAAACCATTTAATTGCCCAACACACATGGGGGAATTCACTGAGAATGAATTGGACCTACTGATAGCGTTGTTTATTTGCACTTGCATGTGTATGTGGTTTCAGTAACCGATTCTTAAAAGGAATTATGCAAATCAGGTATCACACTGAACACAATGTGCATGGTCTAGTTCCTTATTTTAGAAGTCAGAGTGCTTGGTTGTGCATTCAATTATTTCTAGGGAAAATTCTTCTTTATTAAAAAAAATTATTCATATAAAAATATTTGTATAATAATAAATACAGCGCAAAATGTAATTGTACTTAATTTATGTAACAAAAAAAAATGCATGGAATCTGATGTATATAAACAAGATTAAAACCACATCCATATACATTACGATTGCCAATGATCAGATCACAAGAAATCGGATGTTTATAAAACAGATCCAACCCACATCCATACATGTTTAAATGGTCAGACCACATAAAATCAGACATTTATAAACCAGATCCAAAACGCATCAATATGTGTTACAAGTGCGAACGGTCAGATTATATTAAATCAGACGTGTACAAACCGAATCCAAACCACATCAATGTGTGTTGCAAGTGTGAATGGTCAGATTACATTAAATCAGGTGTGTACAAACTGAATTCAAACCACATCCATATGTGTTACAAGTGTGAACAGTCAGATCACATGAAATTAGACTTTTATAAACTGGACCCAAACTCCATCCGTATCTGTCACAAATGTGAACAGTCAGACCACATGCACAATATTGTGCATAGCTGCAAGCTTATAAACAGCCAGTCCTGATAATCTGATCTATGTGCAATGTGAACAGAAAATAAGATGCCGTTTTGGAGTGCTAAAATACCACAAGCAAAACTGTTTAGTGAATTCACCCAACAGGTTTGTCTTACCTGTTTGTGCATCTCAATGTTGAGCCCATAGGACATCTCGTAGTACTGTGGGAACACAAATGTGAGAGTATCAATCAGCACCGTGATGAATTAAACAGCAGTGAATCATCATCAATCAAAATAAAACCTCAGCGGCCTGACAGACACTAACAACTTGCTTAAACTACAGGAAGACGGAGAGAGTTTGAACGCGTCCGCGTGTGTTTCTGCACATCTGTTTTAGCAGGCAATGCCAAAGATGAAGATGAAACCTGACACAACTGCTTGCTTATTCTGTGTCTTTCTCAGTCTGTCTGTCTCGCTCACACACTCGGTAACTGCTCTGTGTGTAGCTCGATTTTCAAAAATCCTTTTTCCTCTTCTCTCCCCTTATCTCTGTCTTTACCGATCAGCTCCCTCGTTACCGACCTTCCTTTTTAATCCTCCTCTCCCCTGCCCTTCTCTATTATTCCATAAAACTCCATTTCCCATCCGTGATGTGTGCCTGACCTCCTCTCTTCTATCAAACCTTCTCTGTGGTTTAATCTCAGGATTAAAGTCTCATCATTTCTAATGACAGTGACTGGAAACCCAAAAGTGTCGATATGAGGTTAACGAGCAGTGAAATATTCCAAAGTTTGGGCACACCTACCTACTCATTCTTTATTAGTGCTTGCGAAGCAAATTATCTATATTCATATTCTTCTTAATCTTGGGGCACACACACTACATGTTCTGCACCTTCCACATTCTGCACACTTCCCATCCGAAATCCCCTATCCCCCCATTCCCCCACCTAAAAATATGAATGCTCGATGTAGGTGCCCTGCTGCCAGCTCTGCATGTAGGCCTATGCTGGACACTTGTTGGCTGATTTTCCCTCACTATCCGACCCAAAACAAAATCCATTAAAAATATAAATAAGGTTAAGATTTTTGTTTTGTGCATTCATGCATATTCATGCATAGGCACAATTTGTCTACAAAACTCATTTCAAGCCACGTATAAAAACCTTCTGACCAAAAGGACTTTAAGATCATGAGAACTATAAATCCAGTCAAGCGTGTCCAAACTTTTGACTGGCAGTTTAAATGTGAGTCTATAAAATGAAGCATTTTAGACATGTGTTGCGCTGTATTCAAATTTATTGCATTTCCAGTATTGATCGCTCCGGTGGATGATGAATTTTAGATAAAGCGTGACATAACAGCAGAACTATTTCCCCATCTATCTGGTCTGCTGGCACACACACACACACAAATATAAATCACGTTCGCTGGTTCTGCATGCTGATAGTGCAGCAGGGCCGCTGGAAGCGGTTTCGTTTTAAAAAGCTTTGCGGCAGCCCAGAAGGCTATTCAGCAGCACTCGTATTACCTCACTTAAGGCCAAAAAAGGTCTCTGCATCATTTCAGACCAACATTAGTTCTCAGCATGTTTTGATGTAGAATCAATCCAGGGAGAAAATGCGGAGCGAAAATTCTAATTCACACAAAAATAGGCGATATATCAGCCAATTAATCGACCTGGCCGACATATCGGTACCAACTGAAATGCTTCCATTAGCCAGCCTTTACACGAAAACAAAACCACACTGGTTTGGGGAAACAGTGTCCTAGATATTTGGTAACCACCCTAGAAACCATATAGCAACACCCTGGCAACCACCCAGAACACTCTAGAATCAAGGCACTGAGTTTTGAACAGGCAAACATGACTCAAATTGAGCTGTACTTAATGTGGCTACGGGAGAGTTTCTATCAGTTTAACTGACAAGTGATCTATTACCTCAACCTACACACAGTCCTGTAAATAAGATGTTTAATTAAGCTGAAATAGTTTAAGCAGTCAGCATGTCGTGTCTACGGTCTCTCCCTAAAGAAAATGTTGAATGACAGAGTGTCAGACAGGCAATCTAAGGACAGGACACCTGCAGCTCATTTTCTCTTCAAAGCATTTTAGTCCTTTAGTTTTGCTTTACTAAATATATTTTGACTTCTTCAGCTACATTTTATAAAGATAAAATTACAGGACTCCATTAAGGACAGGCCAATGGCTTGGGACCAGTGTGAGAGAATTTGGGACCCTACAGGTAATTTGTTGTGCTCATGGGGACACGGGCTGTCATATTGCTCTCTTCCTGTACAAGGCAAAATGCTCATTGCAAATAAATAAATAAAATAATAATAATAATACTAAAATAAATAAATTAAAAAATATATCTAGATGGATAACAACTGGAGAAATTTGTATGAAAAAAACTGTCAAAATTGGAAATGGGTTGAATACGATAAAAACACTGTATGCCACCATTTAAAAAAATAGCTAAACTGTATGAAATTATAGCTGAATTTATAAACATTATAATTAATTTTTTTTACAACATGTGTCAGGAGCTAATGTAATTAGCTCTTCAATTTATTAAGTTTTTTACACAAAAAATTAAGATTATAAAATAAAATTATTTTGAAGTTTTAAATGTGCAATGTTAGTTGGAAATATAACCAATTTAATTTAAATAATTTAAAATTAAATTAAATAAAAAAAAATGTGTGTGTTGTAGTTTACATCGCATGCTTGTACTATTTAAAGCTCATATCTTAAGGTGGGTGAGTTTGACGTGTTGTTTTTGTGTGATTGTGTTGTTATTCTGGATATCGGTGGATAGTGGTGCGCTTTTGGCTCGTAATGTTCTTACGTTCCCTCGCCGCGGCTCATTGTTATATAAGCTCTCTCATGCTATGTGCATTCTCATTCTACACCGCGAGTGTGTGTGTGTGTATGTGTGTAATCCCCTTAGAGTGTCAGTGTGTGTGTGTGTGTGTGTGTTGTCTGGAGCAGATTGCTCGCGACATGTGGCGGATGTAGCGGGGCTCAATGCGGCGGAGGTTCAACAAAGCCTCTCCTCCTGCCTCAGCCGCGGTGTGTGAGTGTGTATTAGTCCTCACTGGTCTAAAGAGGGGCAATATGTACTGGGTGTCCCCTGGTTCAACCCGGCAGCTGTTTGCCATCCGTCGCTTGTACTCATATCCTGCTGTGTCGCTGGTCACTTGGCTCTTGCTGAAATCTCTGTAGATGTGCATGTGTGTGTGTGTGTGTGTGTCTGTCCGTCCATTTCACTGTACTGGATGCAGCTGTGATCTTCTAAGCTCAGACACATCCTGATCTAGTATTACTAGACAGGCAACACTGATGAGGTATAATTTCCATTGGGCTTGTCTCTCAGGCTCATCGCATCTGCCACGAACCCATTTACACCAAACAGGCCAAATTGAATTGACCGATATAAAAATAGTTGTCCTCTGTACTGTCAAAAGAGCTCCAAAAAAGGAAATACTAAATAGATTTGCATCTCCAGTAAGAAATACCAGAGTTTGCCAGGGTAGAAAAGGATTTTAGGCTTTAGGCTTTCAGCATGCAAGACCAATCAAATTTCAGTATGCAAATATCAACATCATAGCTGTCAGTTAGATTTTATAGATGTCCGACTTGTAAAAATGAGTTTAGTTTCTTGTAGAACTAGCATTTACAACTTATAAACTCTGAAGCTTCGACTTGTACCCATAGATATGTATTCACAGACTCCAAAGACGGCAATGCATCCACCATCTTGGAACAGTCAATGTGTCGTCACTCACAGTAAATATCAGTGAGTTTCCCAAGATGCCAAAAAATTGCAGCCTCTTGTTGTAAAAACGCTGATTTAAAATCCTGAAGAAATGGGATACATTTTTACAGGTGAGAATGTGTTTGTGTTTTTATATGAAGGCCTATTAACTCAATATTACCGGTTTTAACTGTTTGATGCCTTTGTCTTCTTGCATTGTTAGTTTAGCAAAATCATCTGCTGAAGTCTACTGCAGATACAAATATTCATATATGCGTATAACTACGGTTGTAGACATGCCGTCAACTTGCTCTCGAGTTCCCGGGTGGCTTTGACCCTTCCAATATGGTGGACACCAAAGATATAGCATCCCACAGAAACCACTGCTAATGAGGCATCTATGTATTTACATCTATGCTTGTACCACCTGAGCTCTGTTACATCATGCAGAAACACAAAATGGCAGCATCTTCAATAGTAAAATGAAGTTAAGCAGTTATTTCTGTTTAATAGATTTTTAATGTCTTAATTGAAGAATAATATGACAACAAAACGAAAGACATACAACCACTATTAAAAGTCAGTCATACAGGTTTGGAACGACATGAGGTTGAGTAAATGATGACAGAATCATGGTAAGTTGTGTATTAAAACATTCAAAGTCTTCATCATTTTAATCAGTTGCAAGCCAAAGAAAGAGCCGTATCATAAAGGATTTCATTATACTTCCTTTTTTTCCCCAGACAATAAAGTGACATTATATGAAAGCCATGAACGCCATTAGTGACAGTGCTGTTGGCGGCTGTTCTTGAATCCGAGACTGAATTACGAGTTACCTGGCAAGTTTCCTGACAGACGGGAGAAAATTGCGAGTGTGTTATCAGCCACACAAAACCAGAGCCGTGATTCATAGACTGCCAATACATATCAGCGCAATTATAGATTAAGCTAATTGCAGAATGCCATTTTATCAAATTGAATAAAACCTTGAATAATTGGTTACATTTCTGTTAAGGAACACTATTGAAACTGTAATGCAAACAAATATTAACATGTACAGCAACACTATAATAATATCTCCCATTTGCTCTCATTTCTGTTCAATTCTTTCTCTTAGAATGCAAGCAGGTTAAATGGAGACTTTCTCCTGCTTCTCAGATTTGTTCCTGAGAAAAAAAACATACTATTCTCAAAGAGAATAGAAAAGAGTTTAAAAAAAACTCAACTAGCACTGTCAAAATACCAGAATTTTAGGATGGGTGGCAACAGCTAGCTCTCAGAACATGTTTTTGCATTTAAAAATGTGAAACTTAGGACAGTGGACTGGAAAAAAAAAGGTTTCAAACTGTGTTTTTTTTAAAAACTTATTTAAACTGGAGGGGCTTGCTTTTTATTTCAATCTAGCGTGTTTGCATAGAAAAACAATCGAAAAGCTGTGCAGTGGAATGTAAAAATGCAATAGTGCCACCTACTGTGTTGGAGTGTCAACCAGATAGTTACTGGCGCCGGATTATTTACAATGTTTATTTTAAGTGCAGTATCAACAAAATTCTCTCATCTACTTAATGCGCATTCAATTTATAGCTCTATACTCTCACAGCATGTCAACAATTGTCTCACAAAGAGTTACAAGAAACATCTGAGCAGATGCGGAGTACAAAAAATGAGAACAGCAAAGGTTTCGTGAGCTATAACAGAACAACTCTGAGCAATAAAATGTTCCTCTGAGTTGTTTTGACCAACATATCATGATGGATAAATTAGGTGAAGGTCTGTAAACAGAAACTCGCGGCTTTGACATCAAGCTTGTGTAGATGTTTTGTTCAAGAATGGTTTGGACCTTTACGAAAGTTAAAAGTGAAACATAAATAAAAGATGTTTTGAAACCTTTTTTTGTAAATTTTTGCAATTAGCTTTGGTGCTGTTAATGTAGCAGAAATGGTGTACCGTAGCTTTAAATGAGAGTTAAAAGTGAAACAAAAAGTAAATTAAAGATGATTTAAAAAAAAAATGTTTTATTTATTTATTATTTTAAATTTTTTACAATTAGCTTTGGTGCTGCTAATGGAGCAGAAATTGTGTAGCCTACCATAGCTTAAAATGAGAGTTAAATGTTATACTGAAAGACATTTCGGGGGGAAAAAAATTGTTTTTGGAGCCATGGTGAGCCAACTTTTTTTTTTCCGTCAGAGAATGACTTTGAGCAACCTGCCAGTGATGTGCCTGGTTGTGTTTGTTGAAAATTGTTTTTAAAAATGATTTTTGCAGTTAGCTTGGCTGCCTCTAGTGGAGCAGAAATGGTGTACCGTAGCTTTAAATGCGAGTTAAACGTGAAAGTAAATGAATGTATTTCAGCGCTACTGCTTGCTTTATAATTAGCTTTGTTTGTTTTGGAAATATCAGTTAGGGTTTCCATCACAGGGCAGCAACAAGTTTCTCTTAAAACAGGAGTAATCCATTAGTCCTTTCTTCTTTTTTTGGATTAAAATACTCCTCACTCTATCTTTTCTCTCTCTTTTTCTCACACACACACCGCAGCACTCAAACGTTTAGCTTACTAAGGAATAATCGTTTTCAAATGTGTCTTATCCTTTCTGTCTTCCTGGTTTCCCCTTCTCCTTCTCTTCCCCTCCTTTTCTTTCTCTGCCCTCCTCTTTTCGTCGTCTTACTGTCTCCAGCTGCATCTTTATACCATCTCTCTCACTCAGTCAGTTCTTCTCCTCTTCATCTACTCTATCGGCCTTTATCTTCCCCTCCTCTTTCTTCTTTTTTACTGCTGCGTTTCAATCACCGCTCGCTCTCTCTCTCTCTTTATCCTTTCTGTCTTCCTGGTTTCCCCTTCTCCTTCTCTTCCCCTCCTGTTTTTCTTTCTCTGCCCTCCTCTTTTCGTCGTCTTACTGTCTCCAGCTGCATCTTTATACCATCTCTCTCACTCAGTCAGTTCTTCTCCTCTTCATCTACTCTATCGGCCTTTATCTTCCCCTCCTCTTTCTTCTTTTTTACTGCTGCGTTTCAATCACCGCTCTCTCTCTCTCTCTCTCTCTCTCTCTCACTCACTCACTCACTCTCCTCGTTCGTCTTTGCTGCTGATCTCTCCTTATGTTCTCTCTCTGGCGCGAGGGCAATCTGTGACAGTAATGTTCGGAGGCGAGCAGAGAGCATCAGACGGATGAGTTGGGGCGGGGGTGTTACTGCAAAAGCAGCGCATTAGCCCCGTCGTTTGCTCCATCTTTCCATCCTCGGCTGCCCCAGGCTCTGGATTACACACAACGATCACAGAGTGACCATGTAGATGGGCGCTCATTAAAGGCTAGATCATGATGGCGCATCAGGACACACACACACACACACACAAATACTGCAACCCACAATCTGGATTTAGAATTTAGTAGTTAATGAGAATGATTTACTTAAGCGGATTTGAACCTCTGTCTTCCAAATGAGCATCATAGTTTAGTATATCACGACAAATATACTAAACTATGACGCCAGATTTAGATTTATGAGCTACATGTTTAATCAGGACCAAGGCACCAAACTGAACAAGTTGTACAATTTATTGTACAAATAAATTATTTATTTGAGCCTTAGCTTTATTGTTTATACTACTATAATTAATTATTATATTATTAATAAATATTATTATTACTATTTATTGATTAAAATTGACTTTACATAAATGTTAATTAAAAATAAATACAAATAGTTATAAATAATTAAATAAAAACAAATAAATAAATGATTTTTTTTTTTGCTTTATTGGGTGTTGACTGGAATGAATTTTTTTTGCCATAGTCTTGTTGATCATATTATTTATATTATTATTTAATATGTATTTCTATTATTGATAATTATTATTATTAGTAGTAGTATAAATTAAATTAAAAATGAATATATAAAACATATACAAACAAATACATTTATTTTTGCTTTATTGGACTGATCATTTTTAAGGAGGGAGCGATGAAATGGGATCAGGGTGTGAGATTCCAGATTCAAACCTGAATCTTCCATATGGACACTACTGTTCTATATGTTAGGTTTAACCATTTTTTTTGTTTTGTTTAAATGTCTTCCTACGCTTTTTGTTTTATTGAAGAGATACCAGAACGATTTTATGTAGACTGACGAATGATGAGATTTGTACATGTCGAGGGCTGGATTTGAATCTGCTTCTTCTGAATCTGCATCATGGCTCGACATATTAATACAAAGGCCACAACCTCAACTTGTTTTTAAAATAACTCTGGGGGCGTTTCGCTTTATTGGATAGATAGTGGAGAAAGAGATGACAAGACCTTCAGCATTGCTCAAAATATCAGGATTGTGTGTGCCAACCACTGAGTCACGACACTGAACAAAGCTTTTAACACTTGAATATCATCCAATTCACTGTCTCTGTTGTTTTTGTTAGCCAGGAGGCTAACGCACCATCGCAAATGAGCTCTGAAAACTATTTCATGCCCATCAACAAATCATTCATTCACTAAGATGAGAAGAACATGCAGTCCTGTCTAGTCGTCAAAGAGTGCAGATAGAAGAATGTGGTAAACTATAAATGCATGAAAATAAAGGGGAAGGCTGTTGAAACAAGTCTTAGTGTACATGGCAGGCCTAGCAGGCTAAATATAGTCTTCTGGGTTATCTGCTTTCTGCAAGCACTGAATCGTTGTTCCCTCTCATTATTTACATGTCTGCGCTTGTGATCTTTGTTTCTCTCTTTCCATCTCTTTTCTCTCTTCATTCCTGGCTCTCGCATATCACCCTTCCTTCTCCCTCACTTTTTCATCTCCCTCAACCCCTATCGTAATCCCGCTGATGTGTCCTCAGGTTAACCAAACACCCTGTAACATGAAATCAAACGCAATCTCTCTTTTTAAACACAGATGGGCTTTAATGCTGTATTTACTGGAGCGTACGGCAGATCTGACGATATGAGGGTTGAACAAGCTCACCATGATATAGTGGCGCTGCATCTCCGTCTTCTCGCTGGCCAACTTCTCACAATCTAGTTTGAGACTATGAAAACACGGCAGAAAAATATGAATGAAAAACACAGTAGAAAATTATTAATTGTTCACGTTAATCAAATGTTGATGGTAATTTAATGCTAATGACTTGTCAACATATCAGAAACCAAGTCTGACAAGTCTGATTCACTTAGATGAATAAGAATGAATCAGTTAAATTAATTGAAACAGGACAAACCAATGTACTTACAAGAATCAAAACGGCTTGATTCACTTAAATGATTAAAAGTGTTCCAACTCACTTAAACGAATCAGAACAAATGATACACTTTATTGAATAAGAATAAATCAATTAAATTTCATTAATCAGAACAAACTAATTCACAGAAATCAAGACAATCTGATGCACTTAAATTAATCAGAATGATCAAACTCACTTAAAGGAATCAGAATAAACCAGTTTACTTAAATGAATCAGAACAAACCGATACACTTTAATGAATAAGAATAAATCAATTAAATTAAATGAATCAGAACAAACTAATTCACTTACAAGAATGAAAACAGACTGATTCACTTGAATGAATCAGAATGACCTAACTCACTTTAAGGAATCTGAATAATTCAACAATCAAAACAAACCAATTCATTGAAATTAATAAGAATGAATCAATTCACTTACAGAAATCAAACCAAACTGATTGACTTAAATGAATCAGAATGATTCAATTCACTTAATCAGAAGGAATCAGAACAAACCAATTCAACAAAATGAACAAGAATGAATTAATTCACTTAAATGAATCAGAACAAACTAATTAAAGTAAAGGAATTAGAACAAACTGATTCACTCAATGGAATCAACACAAATTGATTCAGTTAAAGGAATCAGCACAAACCAAATTACTTAAATGAATCAAACTTCTCGTATGCTATTTACAACATTACAGGACAGTTCAGCAAAACTTATTTGATTATTGTTTCAGTTTGCTAATTAGCTTGGTATTTGAAAAGCTACACTGAAAATGTGGTTAAGTTAGCAGCATCACCAGTTTTAGTCAGTTCTCACTAATCCTGGTAATTTCCAAAGCAGATTTCAGTGGATAAAATAAAAATGTTGATGTCACACTGCTGTATAATATGCTGTATAATACAGTATCATTAATTCAATACACATCCAGCCAGTTATTAGCCTGTAGGAAGAGATTCATAAATAATCAAAAGTGTTTCAGATACTGGGAGTAAATCAGCTCATATGATCTGACCTGTGGTACTGAGCCTGAAGGAACTGGAACTCCTCTTTAATGCGGTCCAGAGTCTCCAGCACTGTGAACTTGAATGACTGTCCAGGCTGCAGAGGTACCTGAGGAGAGAGAGAAAGAGATGGCTTATTAATCAGTAAACAGCCATCGCTCTGTGCTGGAAGATTGGACTGGTTAAATTAATGTACCAAAAGTGACTCATTGAAATAAAATTGAAAAAGTGCTCCCACGGGATTATCTTTGACCTTGGCCTCACTACAAATGCTATATGCGTTTTTGGTGAGGGAGGAGGGAAAAAAAAGGATAACAACAGCACTTCTACGGGGCCGTGGTAACCCTCATTCTGCAAAATGCTTCCACAAGATTTAACCCTAACTTTAGGTAGACACAAACGCACTTCCCAATCTCAAGAATGAATCATTAAACTTAGATAAGCAGCTATGAGTATTGTATGGAAACTGTACCAGAAATTCACAATTAAATTTTTGCATTCCAAAACTTCTATACATTCCAAGAACATTAAGTTCTACTTTATTAATAATTACAGAACACGCATTTCCTTAGTAAACCACAAACTATAAAATAAATGATTTATTAAAGGAACTAATTCATTTAACTGAATCAGATCATGAATCATACAACACAACTATTGAAGTTTGATTGTTGAGCATTTAATCTTATTAGCCAGCTCTTCATTTCATAGTGAATCAAAAACATACTGCTTGACCAGTGTACTGTAATTGCCGAAAGAATGACTCTTCTTGGCTGGTTCTTTTTAGTGAATCAAAAAGCCATACAGTGCAACTAGTATATCTGGAATTTAGAGTGACTGATTCTGATGTGAAAGCAGGTGAAAAGCAAACTATTAAAGTCACAAAGTTAGTTCTTATTCAAAAGTAAGTAAACAATTTCGGAAACAGCTACAAAGTTTAGTTTAATTCTGAGTGGTTTTTTTAGTGAATCAAAAAGACTAATAAATCAATCACAGAGATTACTGAAATAAGAGTGTGGTTCTCTCAATTCTGTTTTTGCATTTTACCATGTTTACCATACCCACATATTTCCCCCAATCCACATCTGAAAACACGCGCATTTCAGGTCGCCGTGATTTTGCCAAGTAAGACATGTTCCTGGATCAACATAACTGTCCAAAAATACAGACTTAACCCAATCCCTACCCCTAAACCTAACTCTACCCATAATTTATTCCTAAAAACAGTGTGAAATGATAGCTGATTAACAAGGGTGTAGAAGCACCTAACCCGAATCAATCACAGAGATTACTGAAATAAGAGTGTGGTTCTCTCAATTCTGTTTTTGCATTTTACCATGTTTACCATACCCACATATTTCCCCCCAATCCACATCTGAAAACACGCGCATTTCAGGTCGCCGTGATTTTGCCAAGTAAGACATGTTCCTGGATCAACATAACTGTCCAAAAATACAGACTTAACCCAATCCCTACCCCTAAACCTAACTCTACCCATAATTTATTCCTAAAAACAGTGTGAAATGATAGCTGATTAACAAGGGTGTAGAAGCACCTAACCCTGATTGTAAGCCTAAAACAGATATTTCCTGAAAAGTTGTCCCTCAATTCTGATTGGTTGATAGGAATGTTGTCACAGGATCAACAAGGATGTTGATCCAGGAACATGTTGTACTTGGTAAAATCACGGTCACCCAAATTTCATGTGGGCCCATCTAATAGCAAGACCTGCATGTTCTAATCTGATCTACCTTTCCTCCTCATTAAGATCCGAGTCCTTTCCTTTGCTATTTTTAAACACGTTTCCTGTTCTGTCAGCTGCTTTCTAAAATGGCCGCCTTTGTCCTGCGCACCTCCGGGCTTCCAGTTTTCTATCTGAAGCTCGGTGTCCGGTGAGCGGCTGAAGATTGGCGGTTTCAGTAGGAGCTTAATTAGTCTAGACAAGCGAAATTCAATTAAATTTTAATTAGGCTAACGGTGGAGGTCAGAAACTTGGTGAGCTTTCGAGTAATTAAGCTGCAGGCGCACAGCTGACTGGATGAGTTCAGTACACACACCAACGTGTTTATGTGCGGATAGAGGGGGACAGTCATCATGTCCCTACGGACCCTCATTCATTCAAACGTGTGTGTGTACAGTAACTGTTCTGAAAGCAATACAAACCACACAGGGCCAGAACTCACAGGACCATAGTAGATTCTCACAACAACACAAAAATATATAATCAGGAAACATCTCATAAAAATATAATGTATCCACAGAAGAATTCCATGAATAACATTAGATTTTTATATTTTCTAAAGGAAATGTACAGTTTTCAGTGTAAATCCTGCTACCATGGAGCCAGAGTGTTATGGATGGTTGCCAGGGTGTTGCTATGCAGTTGCTCAAATGTTGTGAGTGGTTGCTATGCCATTGCTAGGATGTTGTGAGTTCTCAGGGCGTTATTATGCAGTGTTGCCATCCATCTGATGTTCTAAGTGGTTACCATGGCATTGATTTTAGGGTTGCAAAGGGACGGAAAATTTCCAGTAAATTTTCCAAAGAATGCTGGAAAGTTTCAGGAAATTTTCCACCCCTTTGCAGCCCTTACTGACTGGTTGCCAGGGCATTGCTATGCAGTTGCTAGAATGTTGTTACAATGTTGATAGGGTGTTCTGAGTGGTTGCCAGGGTTTAAATTGATGTTGTGAGTGAGAAATTTGCTATAACATTGCTGGGATGTCGTAGATGGTTGTCAGGGCCTTGCTATGCAGTTGCTAGGATGTTGCTATGCTGTTAATAAGGTTGTTCTGTTTGGTTACCAGGGCATTGATTGCTATTTCTAGGGTGTTGCCCTGCTGCTGCTGCAATGTGGTTGCTCAGATGTTATGGACGTTTCCAGGCAATTGGTATGCCATTGCTGGGATGTTGTGGGTGGTTGCCAGGGACTTGCTTTGCGGTTGATAGGGTTGTTCTTGGTAGTTGCCAGGGTGTTGACTGCTGTTTCTACGGTGTTGAAATGCAGTGTTTCTCAGATGTTAAGGGTTGTTCCTGGGGTGTTGCTATGCAGTTGCTCAGATGTTGTGGGTGGTTTCCAGGGTGTCGCTACGCAATTTCTAGGTTGTTGTAAGTGGTTTCCAGGTCACTTGCAAAGCAGTCACTAGGATGTTGCTATGCGGCTGAGAGGCTGTTCTGGGTGGTTAACAGAGTGTTGACTACTGTTTCTAGAGTGTTGAAGTTTAAAAGCTTTAGCAGTTTAGAAGCTTTATCAAGCTGCAAAATTTGAGGTATCATTCATATCTGCAGCACAAATGGTGCAGGATGGGTTTTGTAAGAATGTTAGCACTGCTAATAATCAAGAGACAAAGATAAATATATTACTTTAGCTGAGTTTTGGAAAAAAAAAACATTTGTTCATATTGTATTAAAACGAAGGGCTCTGCAGCATACAGTAAAAACATATGAACAAAATTCACATTTATGCAAATAAACAAGGGGGAAACCTGGGTAAAAGCATCTGTTTAGACACAACAGTGTGTGTCAGACAGGAGGGGGAATCCTGAAATCCAAAACTGATCCAGTTAATCTGGACGGAGGGGGACGAGGCAGACAGCGAGTCATGTGGGACAGCGGCTAGTCAATCACAATTTAGACGAGTTGCAGCAGGCTAGCCTAGAATTACTGAAGATTATCTTCTGAGGGAGGTCAAAGGGGGCGAGAAAGACGAGCAGATCCCATAACAATGGTGGGAAATGAAATCTCTCCCAATCGCCCACTCTGATCATCTCATATATCACTGCTGGAGTTGCTATTTTGGACACAGTGTCTTAAATCTGCTTGAAGGAGAAGAGAGAGACGCCGAAAGAGGAGCGCCGACAGCTACAGAGATGTCTACGGAGCTCGCATCCTTGCAGACAGGCTGGGATAGAGACATCCATGAAATAATCATCCGCTGGTGAAATATTTAGTGCAAAAAAGATGCACGAATAGATGAGGATCACCAGAGAGTGGAAGAAAGAGAAGTGTCAGTGTGATCTCGGGGGATCTGGGCGAATGTGTGAGTGTGTGTGATCTCGCTCTCTAAAAACACAGCTTTCCTTCTTGCCCAGTCCTGCAAGACCTTGTCTCCACAGACTCCTGGAATTCCCAAGACACAACCATTTTGAGGTGCTTGAGTTTAGCAAGTACACTTTGAACTGGGTGTCACACCCTCATTATACAATCTGAGAGAAAGTCCTTCCACTGTTGCCAATCACTTCTGAGGCTTTTACCTAATCTTAAACCCCACTGAATGTCAGGACGTCGGGTGGCTGCTAGGACTATCTTGGCGACTTACTGACAATGCGGCTCTGGAGTGGCTCGCTTTGTGAGGCCGAGCAAAAGCCATCGCTGTCCAATACTGGATTAGGAACCGTGGATTGGCAGGCAGAGAAAACAGCTTTTATACTTTACAGAGTAAATCAGCAATGGTTTGAGACTAAAGAAAGAAAGAAAGAAAAAGAAAGAAAGAAGGTCCTCATATGTGTTTCCGACCAACGCTAAATATTGATAATAAAACAGTGTGAAGATATGAAACCTGCAACCAAGTTTAACATCCAAATGTGGCCAGAATAAAAAGATTTATTAAAACAATACGGCTGTGAGTAAAAATGAGCAAAGGAGAGCACACCAGCTCAAACTATCAGCTCATTAAAAGAGCATATGTGAATTTTGTGGCCAGAAACTTGGCTACAATTTTCACTTGGCCACCACATCAGTGTAACAGAAAGCTGGCATTCACTCTGAGACACACATTCATGCAATAACACAAAAAAAATGTTTTATGTAAAATGTATGAATATGCATGCTTTGTATAAAAATCAAGTCTTTGCCATTAATTAATAATCAAAGCAGCTATAATCATATATGATCAAGGGTTGGAAAGCGAGACCCATTTTTAAGTGCCATTTTAAGTAGGAAAACTGAATGATTTTCATTACTTTTAGTAAGAAACATGCATTTTTCAATTAATAAATTTTTTTGTTTTAGTAAACCTATTCCAATTTCTGAACATATGAATCTGAATTTCAGCTGATTTTTTAGTAATTAATTAAAAACATGCAGGACAAGCAGTGTAGTCTGATTCCCAAACAAGAGCTAACAATTATATTTAGTGAAACTAAATAAGCATAAAGAGTACCCTGTTATATTCTGATTCCTAAACAATGAATCTTATGTAGTGGTTCTTTTCAGTAAATCAAAAACATATAGTATGATAAGTGTAGTCTGATTCCCAAATGAGTGGATCTTCTGAGCCAGTTGTTTTTATAAACACGTATGAATGAGCAGTTACTTATTCTTACTACGAACTACTTTCATCACATCTAAACAAAATTAACCAAGGACTGTTACTTTGACTCATGTCATGTCAAGTTGTAAAAAGTCATTAAAGGTCAAGATAAAAACATTTTTGCAAGAATTCAATAAATATAAAATGGAATATATGTCTGAGTTATTACTTTCTGTTGAAAACTCCTGAGGGCAGTAAATGCAGTAAGAACTTCTTTCTTCTAAATATTTTTTCCTCAAAAGTGCCTACTAAAGGAACTGCTAATGGAAAAGGAACACAGTAGTTATAAGGACTCAGAATACATTCCTCACAATCTTTTGCATTGTGACATTTTAATGTATACTGCTAAATACAGCTGTATTAAACAGGAGGTTCTCTATATTCCATCTTCATTATGACATCAGTATCCACATAAATGTTCACATCCTGGCATAACACACACCAAAACCTGCCTACAAAACACCCATAAATCCACACAGTGCAAACACAGGTACTATTAGTGATGCCTCATGAGCTACGTGTGCTAATGCACTCATATTACAGCCTCTCATTTGTATCAGGTTCTCAAACTCCTCGTCATGTCCAACATATCCACAGACCTCCTGCGGAGAGAGTTTACGTTTCTCACACCTCGCACATGACATCGATGGACTTCTCACCCTTAAACGTTAACTGAATGCCAGTTTTACCATCTAGACTCTGCATCTTTAGGATTAAAAACAATGTGTCAAGTGCATTTGATCAACCTTGGAAGTTTGTGTTTTGTTAACAGTCGGAAACCGAAGGTGTGGCTGCAGCGGATTATGAGCTTTCCCTGCCCGGCTTTTTTTTATTGTTATTGTTTTTGGCTCAGAAGCACGGAGCACTGTAACGCTTCTCTCCTTCCACCTTCCAATCCCCCTGCTTCAGATAACACTAACCACAAAAATCCAGTGGAACCAATTACCAGTCCTCCCGATGCAGTTTGCCTTGCAAATCAGGCCTTAACCCTTTCAAATAGGCATGCACTGCAGGTATTGCAGACTCTGACACTCTCATTTCACACCGACACAGGCTCCCTCTGATTTGCACTGGATGATGTTGAATTGTCAAACTAAACTACTGATGGACCAATCTGATTAGTAAAACATTTACGGAATCATGCTGAGACATTTGCACAAAATGCAATGCTAGGGTGGTTTCCAGGGTGTTGCTATGTGATTGCTAAGGAATTCTAAGTGTTTTGTATAGGTTCCAGTTAAAGATTTGAAAAGGGGGTTTTGAAGTGGTGCCATAAAAGAACCATTTTTGGTTCCCCAAAGAACCTTTCAGTGAACAGTTCTTTAAAAAGCCTATTATTTTCGACTAAAAATAAACTTTGGTGTAACAGAAAGGTTCTATGAATGTTAAAGGTTCTTCGTGGAACCACAGATGCAAATAAAGAGCTTTTATTTTTAAGATTAAGTATGAGCAAATGTAACAGTGATGCTTAGCTTAACTAGATCCGCTAATAAAAAAAGCTGTTCTAACCATGTGTGTGTTTTCTGAGAAGAGAAGTCACACGAACATGGAGATTTCTTAAAGATTTACAGAACAAGGAGAGGTGTGAGCACGAAAGGCAATGTTTATGCTTGGTTACACACAGCAGTTGCTAGAATGTTGTTACAATGTTGATAGGGTGTTCTGAGTGGTTGCCAGGGTTTAAATTGATGTTGTGAGTGAGAAATTTGCTATAACATTGCTGACCTTTCTCACACCTTTTTATTGGTGAAGGTCAGGTTTCACAGGCCATGAGGGTAAAAATAAAACCTGGCTGCAGATTTCACTGGTCCTTTGGAGTTTGTTCACTATATCATTATAAATTACATTCGATCACTCTGGCTGGGAACCTCAGGACATGATTGTATATTTGTTTAAGGAATATTATGGGAAAAGGAATATTATTTAAAAAATAAAAACTTAAGCAGTATAATAAGAATTTGTGTCACGTCAATTACCACAGAAATGCATTTTTAAAAATCCATTGACAGTTATGCTTACAGGTTAATCTTTACTTAAGAAATGTCATAATTCACCATATTGAAAGAAAATGTATATATATTTCATTTTGTCATGCAAAAACTGTCCTAAAATGATCTTATTATTTATGCAAAATATAACCAAAGTCTATGCTGTACAATAATAGTAATAATAATAAAATCAGTTGACTCAAATGCAAAAATTGTCGAAGTTTCTTTTTGCAAAACCTATTTTCTTATTTATTTTACTTGATTTTATGGTGAAATATGACACATTCTGGACATTTCATCATCTTAAGGGTGAATCTCACAAAAACGGTCTTAAAGTTCCTTTCATTCCTTAATAAAGACATCTGATGGCCTCTTTGCCGAGGTCTAAAAAGGCGAGGGAGAAGGTTAAATGGACTTTTTAAATCTTAATCTAAAGAGGAAGAAAAAAATGTCACAAGGCAAAAACAGTCCTAAAAATGTACTTTATGCAAAATCTTATTTCCTCATTTTTTCTCCAGATTTTAAGGTGAAATTTGCCTCATTCTGGATCATTCTTGACGGTTTTAGTGAAATTCACCCTTACATTGGAAGTCTATGAGGCAAGTGTGCGACATGCACACTAAATCAATCTCAAGGGACATTTCATTCATTCATGAACACATCTGATGCCTTGTGCTGTCATATAGTACAAGTTTAGGCTTGTACGCTGAACCAGATTTAAAAAAGGCTGCAATATACGGTAGATTCTTTGGATTCTAGAAACATCAATAAACCAAAGACTGGTCACAGTTAACAAATAAACTTCCCACAGTAAGCCCTATCCAACCCCACCCACATACACATACACATATATAAGATCTAAACCACTCTAGATTTACCAAACGCACTATGGCATCTATTAGAGGGGGCGTTGAGAAAGGTTTATTACACAAACTAATACAGACACACATTGTGTTTGATTCCTCCCACACAACTTTCTATCAACTGGCTCTTGAGGACACCTGGGTGAAGATGAATATGCGTACATGCAACTGAAAGTCTGAAGAGACGTCTCTCTTACACCCAATCGCTTCATCTGTTCCATTTATCGAAGATGTGGGCGAACGAGAGAGCGCAGCACTTACCGGGTGTCTACCCTGCGGGTACATGGTCACCGGAGGGATGCCCGGCTATGGGTTTGACGGCCAATGCGCTGACCCTCCGTACTCCTGCGTCCCCCCTCTACCAGGGGACAGAGCCCCGAATCGAGTTTGGGAACCCGGCTCTGTTCTTTCCAAGCCGCAGAAGGCTGTCAGTGCATCCGACAATGGAGTCTTCTAAAAACAGATCCCCTTACTCACACTTGGACTGGATTTCCCCCCAGAATTCCCTGACGTCCCACTCCGTTACTGTCCGGCTCTCAGTCCGACAGGTCAGGAGACCGGGAGGAGCAGCGAATTCCGAAGAATCACGTCCAGTTGTCCACAGTCTTGTCCTTCTGCAAATGTCCCCAACAAGCTACATAAACAAACAAGTATCTCCATTCGAGTCTTCCAACCTTGTAACAGTACCTCAAAACTACAGGGCTTCTTTGCTGAGGTCTAAAAAGGCAAGGGAGAAGGAGGAAAGGGCTTTGTATTTAATCTAAATCTAGAGAGGAAGAAAAAAAACACAGGAAAGCAGGAAAGAACAGCAGGTCACTGAAAGATCCAGCAGGATTTTCAGCAGCGAGCCCTAGACTGTAATATATTGTGCCTGTTGGCTTCAACACAAACACGACAGCCTGCTCAAGCTGCACTTAAGGTGGACCGGGCGAGATAGATAGAGGATAGATAGACAGAGAGATAGAGACAGAAATAGACACCAATACATGCATACAACCAATGATACATGATATCTTGTTGTCGTTGCATTGAATGGCCGATAGATTCATATCACCACACATACAGACCAATAGAGAAAAAAACATGAATTAGATATTTAAGTTGTTTTTCTTAGAGGGCAACCTGAGACATTTGCTTCATAGTCTGCTTATATTTTTTGACTGAAATAAAAAGACCCACTTACCCCAGTAATCGCTCATGTGTCTCTTCTAGATCAGATCTCAACAAATGTCTCAAACTGTGCTCAGATTTGCCAAGTCTGCAATCAAAAGTTAAAGATTTCAATATGCACTCAAATATTTCTCATCAAATTCTTCAAAGACCTAATTTTCTGAGATGTAATACCTACATTCATTTATTCATTTATTTTACAGATTATAATCTAAATGATTATAGTTTAAAAGAAAATTATACAAAATATGAAATATATCAACTGTAATACTATATTTTATTATAATACACATATATTACTCACACATATGCCTATATAGGTTATTATATAAAAATTATATTATTAATTATACTCCAAGTTAAAATGATATAAAATAAGAAATATATTCTCTCTCTCTCTCTCTCTATATATATATATATATATATTACACACACATTTATCTATATCTATATCTATATATATATCTATATATATATATATATATAGATTCAAAAAAGAATATTATAAATTATATATTTATTTGCAAATTCTTTATATTACTTAAATGTTTACTTATTATTTACTTTATACTTACTGTATGTCAACAGTTCTCTCAATGTACTTTTCCTAAGGAATTTTGAAAGAAATATCGGAGAAAAAAATCCATAATTCAATGAAGCATAACTGAGGTCTCCTGAGCTTTGATAGAGCAACCTCCGAGCAATTAAATTTGCCTCAGGGGAGAAAAAAAATCTGAAAACAAGGGATGTGGAAAAAAGAGAGAACGAGAGAGATGAGGAATGATTCAATTTGCCAGCAATTCCATGAAAGCACCGCGTGTGTCCAACCTCATATTTGCACGTTCGCCTCCGACAGACGACCATTTATCTGCCCTTTGAGAAATAAACGGGCAAAATTAGTGATAATTGCAACACTTATGAACTTGATTTATCCAGAGCATGTTCACGTCGCTTGTTTGCGCTTGAAAATACACATCAGCAAATTTCAGTCATTTTAATAACCCAGTCATCCCTATCAGTATCGCCCTCATCTCTTCATCATTCTCTTGCCCTCCTCCGTCATATTAGTGTGATCTCAGAGGCGTCCCTTGTTAGTCATCCCTCTGTCTGCGCCACCTCTCCGGTCAGGGTTTGCCCTAATCGCTGTTATCTAATTGCATGGATTAGACAAGTATTTACTCACACGACCCTCTCCCTTCAGCCTCTTACTGATACGTTATGAAGCTGGTTGAGTACAAACAGACATCATGGAAATGACCGACGAGACAATAATCTGCCCTGAACTGGTTGGGCTTCTGCATAATGGTGTCCAGGTAAGGGGTTAACAGGTTTGGCATAAGATCTGAAATAAGATAATAGGAAAATCAGGGGAAGACGAACTGTATGATCATGTATCACAACAGCTGCATTTACACTTTACTTAAAGTTATTCTAACATTTTGACATTATTTATCTATCAATAAACATATCATAGTATAAATATATGTCATTCATAAATGTACCTGTACAAACACCATTTACAACAATTAATCAAGTTCAGCATCCGATTCACATTCACATTTGAGCCGAATCAGCACCAATGGAGATTCGTTCCCAAATAATGTGATAAAAAGTTCCTTGCATTTCAACAACTCCTAATAGAAACAATTATATATTGTACACAAGACATCATTTATAAATAGTTTTAGTAGAATCAGCTCAAAGCAAAGTTTGGCGAGTGTCCTGAAAGCTTCCTTAACAAAATTCTGTTGTTTACTAAAAAATAAGCGGGAAACCAAGGTAAATACGGACAGAAAAATCAATAGAGCCGTTGAATGTAATTTATTCTACTTATTTATACGTGTTTTAGATATGAAATACGTTATTTAAATATCAAAAGAGCAAATAACACGAGGTAAATCAGACCACTTACCTTTTTCCAGACCACCTTAAAACTGCGCGGCTGTCGGCCACTCTCCAGCGCTTCTCCGATTGGCTATGGAGACTTTTCCGTTCTAGCCAACCAAACTGTCAGCGACCCACGTTGGCTCTTGACATCAAAGGCTGCAACGGTCCAATCGCAGCATTTGAGGCCGCTGATTGGCTGCAGCCGGTGAGGAGGGCGGTGTGCAGTCTATAGGGATTGTGGGCATTGAAGTTCCAATTATTCCGCACCCCCGCCGCTTCCGCCTCTAGCTGCCAATCACGCCGCATAAACGATCACCTATGACTGCTAATGACAAATGAGCAACGTGTAGCACTTAGTGTTGACTGCCTTGAACAATTAAGCGAAATAACAAATAAACACTCTCTTTATTTGGTGAGTCATAGTGGCTCTATGATAACCTTGTAAATTAATGAGCAGCTTGCTTATTAAATAGATGAAAATTCTGTCATTCTGTCAACACAAAGGGAGTTATTACCATCTCATCTTTACTATGGTACCACAGGACTTTTTCCCCCCGGCTAGATAGTTTGGCTACCTATTGTCACATAAAATTCACTGTATATATATATACACACACACACATACATATACAGTGGGTACGGAAAGTATTCAGACCCCCTTAAATTTGTCACTCTTTGTTATATTGCAGCCATTTGCTAAAATCATTTAAGTTCATTTTTTTTTCTCATTAATGTACACACAGCACCCCATATTGACAGAAAAACACAGAATTGTTGACATTTTTGCAGATTTATTAAAAAAGAAAAACTGAAATATCACATGGTCCTAAGTATTCAGACCCTTTGCTCAGTATTTAGTAGAAGCACCCTTTTGATCTAATATTTTGGTGACTGCATACTTTACAGCTCATAAAGGTATAGGTATATAATTAATAAAATTAAAACATCAATTAGTCATTAATATTATTGTTAAATTACATATATCTATTTAAAAAAATATTAAAAAGTGTAAGAGTTCATGTGTTGCCTTGTTGAACAGAATATAGATTTTCAGATTTTATGCTAGTTCTTTTACATTTCCCCAAAACAATACTTCTTTACTTTTATTTGAATATTATATACAGTGGGTACGGAAAGTATTCAGACCCCCTTAAATTTTTCACTCTTTGTTATATTGCAGCCATTTGCTAAAATCATTTAAGTTCATTTTTTTTCCTCATTAATGTACACACAGCACCCCATATTGACAGAAAAACACAGAATTGTTGACATTTTTGCAGATTTATTAAAAAAGAAAAACTGAAATATCACATGGTCCTAAATATTCAGACCCTTTGCTTATATATATATATATTTAAACGGATAAATCAACCAAAAATAAAAATTGTCATCATTTATTTACCCTCATATTGTTTTAAACCTGTATTCATTTCTTTTGTTATGTTGTACACAAAATAAGATATTTTGAGGAATGTTAGTAACCAAACAGTTCATGGTAGCCATTGACTTCCACTATGGACAAAATACTATGGAAGTCAATGGCTACCATCAACTGTTATAATATCTTGTTTTGAATGTATAAATAAGTTCTAAAATGTATTATAAAAATGGATATATTATAAACAAAATATACACACACATACGGAATGTACGCGCACACAGCCATTTTTATATTATTAAATGGCCAGCATTTTTACAGTGAGATGTGTGTGCACACAAGTTAGCCTACCAAGCACACGCATACACACAATGAAAGAAAAGAGAGACTACCTTTGTCAGTATCGATTGCTCTGATAGATGTGGTCTATTCTTTAACTGAACTAAGCTCCGATTGCTAGCGAGAGTGTGGCTGGGCCTCCCATCTCTCCAGTAATTAACTTCAGGCTTCACCTGTTGTGGCAGCTCGAATCGGAATAGCATCTCACTATCAAACACGGCACAGTCTTTCCTCAGTAATCTGCCTCTAAGTGTGTCACAAACTACAGATCTTTATGTTCCGCACTCTTGGTTATACATATCACTCTACCACACACAGACAGACCGTTAGCAAACATATGGGTGTGCTAAAGAATCGGCATTGATACCTGCATTGATGAAGTGCAGTCACGTTTACCGTTCGGCAAATTTTTGCGGGCAAATTTTTAAAAGGAATCTATGGAAGCTTATGTATGGGATAAAAAAAAAAAAGGTAATTGACTTATTTCACAACTTCAGACTTTTTTCTCAAAACTACAATACAGTATCTGGCTAATTAACATAAACCAATGGCCTGTGTGGCCTAAGTGTCATCATCAGAAAAGGAAAGTCGTTTAAAGGCAGAGAAAGTTATTACATTTTGAAGAAAGATTATGAAGACAAACATTTATTCTTTACAATAACACGCACAATATGACTAGGAACATTTATTAATAAAGTAAATAGGGTTCATTTTAATTTCACGTTGACTTTGAAGTCACATGACTGCACCGAACACACACTGCTGCTGAATGAAGGTGTCAATGGACACTCAATCTCTTTCCAATTTCTCATCTCTCTTTGGCTTGCTCTGGCGCATTGTGTAAGTGTAAAATGCACAGGCGGAGGTTCTTATGACCAGATGTAGTGTGTGTGTGTGTGGGGGGGGGGAATTGAAAGAGCTCATGATGGAAAACAGGGTTTGTGAAATAATCAACAGAATGAGAGAGAGGAAAGAAAGATGAAGAGAGAAAGTGTACGCGCTCTGCCTGAGGGCCAGACAGTGCGAGTAAATACTGAAAAATTCCAGAATCCAGAGGGAGTTTTGTGGTTTAAATGGCCTAAAAAACAGCTCGGCTTAAACTCATAGGGGAAGTGAATTAACAGGCAGAGAAGAGGATTTATGCGATTTATTACAGCCATATGTTTCAGTCTGAGGACACGACACAGCATGCAGCAAACAAAGGCAACACACACAAGTTGCGGACACAACCACGAACTATCCAGAATTGAAATTCGGTCTGCAATAAC